ACACCCTTGCGCGTATTGTCGTACTTTCCTTCCGACGGAACCCTCAAAGATGAAAATGGCCTTTACGGGGGCCTTCAGTGAGGCAGACAAGGGGTGGTTAGAGATCCGGCGCACAGAAGCGCTACGCTTAGGGTAATAAATCTTAATACATAATGTTCTAGGTATTCTAGTAGCACGAAAAAGTATGAAGAGCCAATTTGAAGTTTCAAAGACGTGCAGCACCGGTGCGCGTAGGGTCTTACTTCGCCTCTGACGGACCCTCCAGAGGTGCAAATCGCCTATACGGAGGCATTCGGTTAAAAGGTTGGGAAGGGTGGTTAGATTTCCGAAGTACAAAACTGCTACGCGCAGGATATTTCTTCCCTTCCCGCGGCCCCTCCCTACGCCACCAAATAGGCTTTTCATATTTTCCTTTTGCCAGAATGCCTGGAACGTTTTTTATAAAGCCTTCAAAAATCAAGTGAAAGTCAAAAAGACTGAAGATAGTATCGGCACTGTAGCAGACAGGATGGAATATGGTGAATGGTTGTGGGACATAACCCACTGACTAGAGTCATTGTGCAACGACGGTACAAACAATAATCCAAAATCTAGATTTGAGTTCTGGTTGAATTTCAATGGACAATTATCCGAAAATTTGCCTGGCAGTCATTTTATGTGCTTTTTTTACTCACTGATAAGTTATTTGCGTTACCGATACGAGCGAAACTGTGAGTCCTAGGAATTAGTTAAAAAGAAACAGCTGCCTGAGGACACAGTCCTCCAGTCGTCTAGGCCGCTGAGCTGCAAATTTGCGCTTGAGAATGTATGTACCAAGGCATTTCGGCATTCAGGCATGGTCCGACTCCTTTTGAGTAATTGTCTTTTGCACTACTTAGACTTGGCCTCGAAAAACAAAATGCGGTTTCAGACCTTGGTGGAGTGAAGCACAGAGGATAGAGCCTTTCAGGCGGCTTTCAGCGAAGCCGACGATGATACTCGGAGTTCAACAGACTTACAGCATCGTTACGCGTAGGAACTTAATTCCTTCGTATAAGCTGGAACACGCGCATCCCAAGAAATTTAAATTTACATAAGATGTTCTTTGGGATAAAATAACTTTAATGAGTGAATTTTCGAGTTTGACTAGTCAGCTAGTACACCCTAAGGATAGGGTCAGCTACCTCAATATGAAAGAAGCCGTCTAAAAAATCCCATGTGGAGGTTGTGATACTGTATATTGTGGCAAAACAGGAAGATCTGTCTACATGTGCATCCACGAGCACCAATCGGCCGTGAATAGACACGACCGATTTTCCGAAGTGGCCATGCATTGCCTCAACCCAGGACACATCTTTGCATGGGATAAAACACGCATCTTCGGAGTTTGCCCTTCCAATAAGGGCCGAGAATTCCTCAAATCCATGCACTCCTACGATTCATGCATTAACCGGCACGTCGAGTTGGATGGTATTTATAAGCACGACAAAGAACGATGGAAAAGACAGAGGCCACAGGACAGAGATTAACTGAGACCAAACCTACCAATTATGTCTGACTTTCTATATCTATTGATTTTTTCGGCAGTTTTGACATTTAGGTTGTTCATTGCACTTTTCTTGTTAGTCCGAAGACGAGTTGGGGCGCCAAACTCGAAAATTAACTCAATAAAGTTATTTTATCTCAAAGAACATCTTATTCGAATTTAATTCCGTTCTGATGGACCATTCCTGTGCTACCAAATAAGCTCTCCTGTTCTTTTTAAATTCCGCCCAAATCCCTCCAAAGTACCTTCGAGTTCGCTCTGTAATACCATTGATCAGCCAGTTTCAGAACCCTTTTTCCATCCAGTTGGCGACTCGCGATTGGCCAATGGCGGATTGAGGTGGAAGATAACGTTTTCCTTCGTGGATTTACTAGTGAGGGGAAATTCCGGGCCAATGCCAAAGATGATCAGAAACAGTGGTTTCACACTTCCCGATTGAACTGGTCTTTACAGGCTTGTTTCTGTGAGGTCACTCCTGCCTTTTCACGTATCTGCTCAAATGAAGAAGAAGAAAAAGAATAGGCATAATATAAGCGCACAGAAGCCTTTTTTGTCCTTCACTCTGTTGAATACTGACACTGCACATATATTTGGGATTTTCAAATGATTTGTTAACGAAACACTGCAATTGGACATCTCAGTCACATAAAGATGCTTGCCCGTAAATACATTTCTTCCCAAAAGCCGCACTTCGCGAGAATAAGTACTTATGCAACGCGAATTAATATGGTTTATACTGGTCATCAGAAAGTGGAGATCAGAGCGGAGGACCTGCGCTCATGACGTCACTGTGCGCTTGTGGATGAACGCTACTCTATGGAGTGTAAAGCCGCCATATTAAAATATATTTATATTTCGGTGTCTCACAACGATTGCATTCCTTCAGTCTTCCTAGTCTACTACTCTCTCTGGGGAGCGGTTTTAGGATGATTATGCAAATTCCTCTCGGTAGTTTTTATTTTCCAATGATCACATATGATCCTCCTAAACTGCTTCCTCGCTACGCTTCTATTGGTATGTATTATTATGTTTGCCCAGAGTCTGCGTCGTAAAAAATACTGCGTTTTCTACTACTTCTCCTGCAACTAGCTTTTACGAGGGTTCCATAAATATTGCATTTATTGAGCTTTTATCGCCCTTATCTACAACCGTCTCGGGCGATGCGTTCGAGGAAGCATATAAAATGTCCAGTCGGTGACCTGATGTTCCAACGTTCGCATCTTTTCATTCTGAACTGCTTTCTAGATCTTGCCTCCTTGGTTATAACAGCCCATGGAAACATATACGTATGCTTTATTTTGCTTGAACAACTTTTCTGACAAGCCATACACACTTTAGTGTTTACTGACCGCTTAGCGTAGGACGGATACCGCATACATTGGGTGTGCCAGACTTATGTCATAGGTGTGCAGTAGCCTAATGATTTCAATCTTTAAATACAGCAACTATTTGTGGTTGAATAACCCGTAGTTTATTTTGTCCTGAGGATGGTTTTGAGTGGGAATTCGAAACGTCAATCGAATAAGGTTGTTATTCAGCAATCGCGTCTACTTCTTATCTATTATTTTCTTGTCTTCTCATTTCCGCTTATATCGGTAAGGTATTGCAGTTAATAGATTATTCATTTAATTTGCGAATCTAGCAAGCAACGGCTAGCATACTAGCGCGAATTCTGCGCAAACTTGGTGGGTATATTTTTTTCGCTCTCACGCACAATTTCGACTTTATTATATGGCGCTGGGGTCTTATACAGGATACTACGACTTGCTCAAATGTGTAACCTAACGAAGGCAACATTACCTTGAAGATGTCACTAGATATTGTGCGGGAATATAGTTGAGAACCTTATGTCGCTTCGTCTGTACTTAGCATTCATTATTTAAATGCTGTGTTTTTTGTCTTTAACGAAATATATATAATTAGGAAGAGTTGGTCTCGGTCTCACACGTACTGCAATAAGTGCAGGCTTATCGCGTAAATGAAGTTTTAAGGGCCGTTTTTTGGTAAACGCTTTAACTGGGCTAAGTAATTTGATACAGGCATTAAACAGAACCTGTGTTCCTGAAAAAAAAATTGGAACCACAGAAAAGCATCGATAATTTGCCGAATTTAAAGGAAAATCTGCATGTACTTGTAATAAAATAAGGGCAATAGGTTTAAAATATTTTTACAACGGAAACTGTTTTTTTGATATGATGAAAGTAGTGGGGTTATCCATTCAACTTACGGTAGGATTGAAATTTATTGGTCTAATTTATAGCCGTTCGTTATGTTTCCGGAAGCCCAAGGATTTTAGGGAAACATTTAATTTTCTTAACAAACACTTAGCATTTTCTACATTCCTTTTAAGTTAAAATTTTTTTAAGTTTGTTCCCATTGTGCACGCTTTCATTGCCGTGTTCTGTCGGTAATCATCAGTATCCAAGGATCGCATCTTGTTCCCCTGAACTGCTTCCTCGATCTTGCCACTATGGTTGTAACAGCAATAGCGAAATAAAGACAATGAAAACAAGTATGCGCGTTTTAGACGAACAATTGTTATTCATTCGGAGAAGCTCCTATACATAAAATACCGCACAATCTCCCCCAACGCGAATCCACCGACTTGGGCCATTTTGTTGCACAGTTGCCTGGAAATCTCCCTGGTTTGTAAACAGACCTCCAAGTCCTACTTACGGATTTGTTTTCTTGATTGCTGGATTCAACACACGGCAGTAAGTGGGTACTTAAGTGTTGACGCGAGAAATGAAAGGAAGGTGAATCAGCTGACGCTGTGCCTGCCCCAAAACCGTGATGGCAGAAGCAGAGCAGATGCAGATATGGTGATGCGCACTTGAAATAATTATTACAGTTATAGTGTACTCGCGCATTATCTACCGCACACTGTCGTAACTCAGCCACGTGGCTGCGGTCGTAAGACTAGGTCAAGAATGTAGAGGCGGGATCTTGCGTGGTGTAAAACAAATTTAAGTAGATCGTCTACGCCTGCCACACACAATTGTTCCGGACAAGTAGGTCGCGTTTTCACAGAGACAAGAAGTTGGCCGCCTAGATCCCATCTTCAGTGGGTGTTCCATAGAGGCCACATAAGGGAGGCGTTGCTGCGGCCCGGCCTTTGATCCTGAAGGAATCGAGTATGTTGGGAAGATTTGTGAAGACGGGGTGTGCCTTGTTGTGTTTTACCACAGATATACACGGAGGCGCATATAGCCCCATGGGATAATAAAATGTGCGTGGGCACTTCGGTCAGCCGATGCTAACGTGAGGGGTGCATTTTAGCGCTCCCGATGCTGATTGGGTAGACTCAAACCAGTGAATACTACAGTGACAGACTGTGCCATAGCGTGGTGAGCAGGAGTCGTGTCAAATAGGGAAGTTTATGTAGGTACCTGCGTTGCTGGTGGTAGTTGCAACAGCATTCGTATTAAAAACTCTGCAAATCTGGGCGTTATTTTTACCGATGGTGGGAGAGTTTTCAGATATGGCTAGGTTGTTTTGAGATTTCAATATTGCGGTGAATACCGCTGTCGTGGGGTTTGCATGTGACAAGTCGGACACATGTGGTTACTGCCTCTCCTTGGGCAGCGGGTGCATATCGGACTTCCATTTGCTGCAATTTTGGTGTTTGGACGTTGACAGTGGTGGTGTTGGTGGCGCTGGTTGAGATAAGTGGGATGACGTTAAGAATGTTCTCACTAATTGCAGGCGTTAAAAAGGCGATAGTCGTTGTCGCCGTCGGAAGGGGAGCTGCGGCAGTGGTAAGGGGCTCCCCGTCCATATTACGGGCGTAGGGGGGTTCGCGACAGGGCGTCGACTGAGTCGTTTTCAGACACACAACTGTTTTTTGGCGTGATGCTTTTGTATTTATGTCTCTAGCAAATTGCAGAAAGTTTTATTTCACTCCAACGAACTCCAAACTAACTGGAACAAAGTATCTTCTGCAGTGCGAATCAACCCAGCTCATATTGATGTTCAATTATGCGAGGCCAGAGGAGAAGATTCGCACTCTTGATGGCATTCTGCCTATGTTCGGATGAACGCCAGTATATGGAATTCGAACCTGCTATGGCCAAAATGTAATTTTAATTTTCATTTACAACTCTGCCTCGTAAAAACTTTTAAAACAGGTGGCATTCGACAACCCCATAGAGCCCACTCTTCAGCTCATAACGGGCAATCACATCAAGGTCTCAATTTAAGCATTATGAAATCAATTCGTCGAATTTTGACGATTTTGGAATTAAAATGAAGCTGTTTTGCCACTCTGCCTACCGCGGCACATTCAATGACAGCGCATTCTTTGTATCTTTAAATCCCTCGAGTTATATCCCTAATAAAATTGCCCGCAATTCAGCGGCACGTTTCAAAACTCTTTTTTTCGACCAATTTATGGTTCGAGATCCGTCGATGACGAAACTGCCACCGATTAATTCAGACGTTGCTATTTTCTTCTAGTTAGACGGAGAATCCACGTTCATTTGTGAGTTTAGAGAGGAGAAAAAATTCCTGCCCAATGCGGACAATCATAGAAATTGTATTTTCGCACTTCCAGAGTAAACTAGTCTTTACGTGCTTGCTTGAGACCAGTCGCTCCTGCCTTCTAACGCAGCTGCTTATAGTAAGGAAAAAACTAATTATATGAATAGTGAACTTCAGCAGGCAAGCTTTTCTTCTCTTTTGCTGCCTAATTTAGCCCTAATAAAACTACATTTCGGATGTTCTACGTAAACTGTTAGTTGAACATTGATGTCAGTAGATGTTCACCTTTAAGGACACTTAATTTACGTTTGCTTGGACGTTAAGGATAAGCAGTGACCATCTTTTATATTTAAGCCTATTATCTTACTTCCGAAGCGGTTTTAAAAATCTCAGGGTTACATTCTTAAAACTGAGATTGCTGAACATGTTCCAGTAGAACAGGTGTTGTTTAAACCTTCGACAATGCTGATAATTTGTCGTCTTTTAACCATGTTTTATGCTTCATTTATGATAACGATACACATGCAGAAATAATAATATTTTAATTAACATTGCGCTGTCGAGAAAAACCATAAAATATAATTTTTTAAAATCAAACGATACACTTTCCTCGACCGCAGGTTCAGCGAGAAGTGACCTATTACTAACTGGGAGCAAGAAGGGATATTTTCGAGCAGTCTTCATACATAATATATATTCTGAAAGGTATGATTGTTGTAAAACATCCGACAGCAGAAATTGCAACAATTACGGGTAGAAACTGTCAATACATTGATTTTAGGTCGTCATCTGACAGCCTGCGTCGTGTGCGTACACTAAAAACGTGAACTTTGGTTTCGCCACCATTCCGCGACTCAAGACTTCCGATTTCATTCTCAACAGCATTCATTGATGATTTCTTATATTGGGATGCAGTGTGAGGATTGGGGATTTCATGTTTTGAGAAGGGGATATTAGCCAAAATTGAATTCTTTCTTGTGCAAAGCGGTCAAACATTTCGCGCAACAATAGTTTAAGTAGTGCACCTCATACGACTCCAGGCCCAGCATTTTGTCCTACGGAAGCGGTGCGCATAAGGGTTTTCGGGGTGTGGAATTAAACTCGGCAGTGGAGTATTCTTTAATAATCACTGCACGCATTTTTATTTCATTTTATTAAGAAATGTTTTTGGGTTATATATCTATATTTTCCTAATCTGTATTATCGCTTAACGTATTGCAGAAAAACGCGAATATTGCAAAAGCAGGTTTATTGATTTTCCTGAAAAAAGAGAAGTGGTAGTTACGAGGCCTTCTACTTCAACTAACCTAAGGTCCAACTTGTCGTTCTGGGGTTACATTAGTATAGTTCGCGGCGAGAAGGGCCGCTCACACTTTTAATTTACCTGCGGAACAACTTACTCCCAGCGGCCGTGAAAAACAAATTCAAAGACATTTTCCTATTTTGCACATCTATAAATTTCCTTCACCTCCTATCCTATTTTCCCAACCCAACTCCCTCTAACAACCGTTTCCGTAGGACAAAATACGGGGGCTATGGGCATATCAGGTGCACTACTTATACTACCTTTTTTAAATTTCGATTTGGAAAAGGCAATTAGAATCAGTATTCGCTTCAGGTAACCACCTCGCATGAGTTAAACACAAAATGAACTGCAGCATATAGACGTTATAGTTTAGGAGTGCGATCGCTTGTCCTAACTGCGATACGGATATTCATTACAGCGCAGCCAACGCTGAAAATACTTCAGTGATGTTAATTACCGGCATTTGAACTAGCTTCTGTCAGACAGGCTGCAAAAGCAAATCCCATAAACTAATTAGCCGAAGTAGTAGGCACTTTTTTATTCATTTTTAATGGCGCTTTAAATTAAAACATATTTTATAAAAGAACAGGCACAAAATATTATTTCATGTCCTCGATTAGTAGCTGTCTTTTAATTTTATGCTTGAGGAATCACGTAGCTTTTGGTTTTTAATAAGCTTCTTTTCATGCGATGTTTTAAGACATTGAAAATTTTATTCAAAATGTATCACTACCATTAATTTACTAATAATTTATGAAGCGAATATAACAGTGAAGCAGAGCGGGCGATGCCGATAGAGTTGGGACAGCAAAAACAGCTGCAGTTTCAATGTGTTCTCGGTAAAGTGGGCTACTTAAGGCTCTTCTCCTGAAACAAGCGAAGGTGATATAAGCGAACTGTATAATTAAATGAAGACAAAATGATCTTCCGCATGAATGCAACAAAACATACGTTGTGTATATTTCTATAGTATAAATTTGAGTTTATAAGGGCATAGGTAATAAGCACTCACTTAAAGGAGCCTTTGATTCCAAAAACCCGAAGCATAGCTGTTAATTTGACCAATAAATATAAATAGTAAGATTGTTAATATAATTAGATAGTTTTTTGCCTACATGTACGCAATAAAGTGTGTGCATTTTGGTTATCTTCCTTAATCGTGGACACGGTAAAATAAACTAGGATCAACACTTATTTCACTACGTTTTGTTATAAAAACTCCACATTTTTCCAAAAAACAATGTTTCTAACTGAAATTACTTCTTTTTTTGAAAAACAATTCGATCACTTCACTTTTTATTCGACTAATTTTCATCCATTAAGGAATCGACTTTCTACTTTCTAAAGCGAAGTTATTTTAAGGTTTTCCTGCTCATATTGGTGAGTACTTATAGCAGAATGAAAGATTTCATTCAGCAGAGGATATTTGGCCGATATCAAGTGGCCTTCGATTTCGTCGAAATTTTTCTACCCTACTTCAAAAAACTGGATTGGACACGTTGTTTTCCTTGCTAAAAGGCTTTCTCAGGAGCAAATCCACTAATCGGGTTAAAAATAACGTGACCGACGATATACTGAGCCACCAAGTCCAATCTTAATCATTATTTTTCATTATTTTGGTCATCTATTGAATCTCAAATGGGCTGCGTGCATATCTGGCAGTTTCAAAAATTCAATGAAAGAAAATTGAAAGCACCGGTAGCAACTAAGCCTATCTGTGTAAATTTCGTGTACCTGGAGATTGAAATACATGCCCTAACCGTATTCAGGTCCCGATCTTACCTTGACTATTTTTCTCGAAAATGTCAGACTTACCGGTTTAGATAATGCAGTAATTCTCGACACAAAAATCTGCGTATCTGGGAGGAGCAAATTTAAGTTGTCTTATTTTCTGCAAGCCGCTGATAATAAATAAATGCGAATTACCCCTGAGCCAGAAGATAGGCCCTTTAGCTTGGCGGTAACATCGCACATGGAAGCATTTTTTTCCGAAATGATATATCCAGAGTTTCGGACTCAATTTCGGAGGGAAATATGAACGTACGCCAGCTATTGCACGTTATCAGGCAGTCCTGTTTTACCCGCGTTTTTGCAATTTCGAAAGTCTAACTGTGTAGAATCATGTACGTTTCTTTTGCAGAATCTTATCTGGATGACTGACCGACAGATACTGACAGTTCATCATATTCGCAGCGCGGAGTCGATGACACCTGCAAATAACGCTAGCCGTCCGACCATTCTACCATATTGGCAGCTGAGGAACTTCAGAAAATACCACGACAAATACAAATCAAGAAGTGTCTTGCGTCTGGAATAGTGGCAACTCTAGGCAGAAAACTGTCAAAACCATGTTCTTACGCCCACGCGATTATACAACGTATTTTGGCAGGAGCTATTTCATCCCATTCAGTTCATTGTCCACAATTGATATACTTTATATACAGTACGGTGCTTGAGCTTATAGTAATTTAGTTTGATCCCAACCATGACCTTTTTGTATTGCGTTGGGAACGCTTGGACTAGCTGTTGACATGAAGTGATCATGTAGGCACCAGTTTTTAGGCGCAGGCCCTTGGGCATTATGTCCTGACCATTAAGGCCAATTAAGTCCGTTTTAAATAAATAACCTTTACGGAAGATTTTTAGGTATCTTCAACTGAGAACAACCAGTGATTAACAGTTGAAGTTGGAAAATTGCACAGACATTATCCTCCAAATAAGAAAATGTTCTACTCATCCCAATCCCCTTCTTTCCAGAAAAATCCGTAATGTCCAAACTCTGCCGCACATTATAGTGGTCTTACAAGCATGGGCAACATACAGGGTCTTCGTCTTGCCGTCAGGCACAGAAAACGGTCTCCTTCGAGATATTTATAAACTTGAACTAGGTGCTGGCGATTGTTATAGTATTGACTGAAAACCAGTGTTAACGCAAACAGTTTGGTCAGTAAATGTGTCAAAATTAAACGTCCTGTGTTAAGTCAGATGTCTTC